TGCTTACTATTATATTTATTTGTATCTAATTGAGATTTTTGTATTTATTTTCTTGATTTAATCGGTTCTTCTTTTGGAATATGTATGGATATGGAGGCTGATAATTGATTTCACACTTGAATCAGTAGGGGACCAATTAACAAATTGAATAACGGATTGTTTCACAGTTTAATTTTTATACATTGATACGTAAAATGAAATTATGCTGATTGCGATTTGATTTTGTCATATGAAAACAGGTTTAATATAGTCACAATCTGTCTTAACAAGGAATTATCAAACTTTACCTCATGGTCGATTCAAGCATTTGTTTTCGAGGTTGAAGATAGAGAGAGGATTAGTGGTTCGGCTTATGGGGGTCAACAGGACATCTGTTGCACCAATGATCTTCCTAAACTCACTGTGTGCAATGATGGACAGGGCTGTCACCGGCCTTCTCCCATGAATTCAAATTGGCCTGAAGTTTATGGCGTGGCTTTTTATCATGCCTAAGAAATAAACAGTTTGTTTTTAGTTTTAATGCTTTATAATATTATTGTTTGCAGAGTTGTCTTAGCATTTTAAGTGCCAATATTCACCATGGTCATGGCTGAGTGACCATTTGCTTCTCTAATTTCACAAACAAAAATATTGCTAAAGAAGAATTGGAGACTGCCACAACAGAACCAGATACCACTATTTTAAATCTACTTAATCGAGTCGATTTTCACATGTGATTCATCATCAAAGCCAAGTGTTAACTTATATTTTCATTCAAGTTATTTGATAGTTAACCTTATAATAGTAAATATATGTTCAATATGGTGCAGATGATTTGATTTCCCGAGCATTTGATTTCCATCTACAGCCGTAATTGAAGATTAGGAAATTGAAACCATTGAATTTTATGCTTCCACAAGGAATATCAATGGCTTTCATTGGCAGGTACTGATTATATACTAATTGTATTTTCTGACAGATAGCAAATGCAAATGTCTCATTGCAATGTTTGGAGGAACTGTTTTTGGAAGAGGAACGAGATTTTGATGAACATGACGATAGTCAAAGGGATGAGACTCTTATTCACCCGAAGTTCTAAAGTAATATGTTTTTAAGGGTTCAAGAGTAGCGGGTGTTGCTGAAGTTCACTACCAATTTCAGAAGAACCATAAGCAAGGCAATAATTATCTAAGATGTATAAGATGATAAAACCAACGTTGATATGCGATCATTTTCTGGTTCTATAGAAGAATGTTTTTAACAAGATTTGATTCAAATTATGTATATGTATATTATTATTGCTTTCATATTTTGTATGTCATATCAACATTGGTTTTAGCATAATATATTTTTCTACTGCAAATTATGTAGGCCTATGTTTTAATGGAATTTATTTTACACCAAATTCTAAGTTCTTTTGAATGTAGCATTGCCTCTAGCAAACACACTACTCTAAGTTTCGTTCAATTAACATATATTTACAATCTTTTTTAAATAGAATTTCTCTTCTCCTAAAGAGAAGATAATAACCTACAAGTTGGTGTTGATGTGCCTTCAAAATTCTAATTTATTTTGAATCGAAATTATAATTCTCATTTGTCGTGAAATTTGAATAAATTTTTTATTTTTTATTGATATTTTTTTATTTTTAATTGCTATAATTTTAGAAACAAATATTACAATTTTTAATAAAATATTTACAATTTATTTTTTTAAAGTACGACTAATTAATATATTTTTATACAATATTAAAAACAAATATTACAATTTTTTAATCAAATATTGGAGAACCATTTAATTCGATACTTTACCAATATATCTTTTGAATGGAGACATTATTATCATTTATTTTTATTATTTTTATTATTTTTATTATACTTATATGGAAATTATTTTGACTGGTGACATAAATATATTTAATTTTTATATATGATTTGATTCCATAAAATATTATGATCAATAAAATTTGAATTCTCTTTTAATATTATAGGTTTGATACTGTTTCATAGAAAATATTTTGAATGGTCACATTAATACATTTTATTTTTATGCATGATTTGATTTCAAAAATTTATGATCAATAAATTTTGAATGGAATTATAATTTAACCAATAAAATTTTCTACCGACTTCTAAATATATTTGTGTATATTTTTTGAAAGGTTACATTTATATTCTTGAAAAAAATAACGTAGTTTAAAGGATGTATTGTTAACTATAAATATATTGTTAATAAAATTAACAAAAAAGTATATTATAAATATATAAAAGATAAAGTAAATAAGAACTCTAATGTTTATCTTAAATATTTAATTTATCATTCTATAAATGTAAGAATAAATATTATTTTGTAATTATTTAGATCCTTATTTGACCTAAAATAAATTATTTCAATTTCTATAAAAAGGTTAATAAAACAAAACAAAATCAATTGAGATTTGATAATTTTTTTAAGTTTATGAAATAACTAAAATATATCATAATCTTTTCAAATTAACTTTATAATTGTAATCATGATAAAAAAATATTAAATGGTAATCATGAAAATTTAATGATTAATGATAATCATAAAAATTTATGATAAAATAAAAAATGATTGATACAATCATTTTAATAAATTAAATAATTTATAATTAATTTTATAAAGGTGAATAAATTACAAATAATTTTATAAATGTAATAAATTAAACTATTTATAAAATTATTTATATCAATAATAGTAAATTATATATATTTTAATAATAGACACACGAATTCAACATGCTTATAAATCGGAAAAAAATTACAATAATTTTATAAACATGAATAAGTTAATATTATTTTATATAAATTAATGGTATAATATAATGTATTAAATATTTATATAACACTTTATTAAATAAATTTATTTCATGAAATTTATTTTATATAATATCATTAATATTTAATTATTGAAAATTCGCAATAAACTGAAAAATATTTATTACAAATCGAATATAATAAAACATAAGAAATAAATACATAATTTTGAAATGTTATATATGATTCATTGTAATAATAAATGTTAAATTATTATTTAATATTATAATAAATTTTCCGATATTCTTAGATTTAATTTATTCTTTTTCCCGTATATAATAATAATATTATATTATTATTTAATATTATAATTTTTTATTGACAATAATAAATTCATTTTAATTAGTTAGACATTAAGATAATAAATTTAATATATATCACTAATACAAGATATTTATTTATAAATGTAATTAACTAAGAAACACATATTTATCACTGTTGAATAAATAAATTTAAGATGATATGGTAAATATTTATTTTTACAATTATTTTTATAAACTTAAATAACTTACAAATATTTTTATAAACGAACAAAATTCAAATATTGATGTAATTGTTTTTAACATGAATAAGTTAAAATGTTTTTATAAATTGTCACACGGGTTAAAGACACTTATAAACGAGAAAAAGTCTACATATTAATATAATTAATTTTACAAACTAAAAATAAATTACAATAATTTTTATAAACATGAATAAATTATAAATATTTTTATGAACCGGAAAAATTCAAGTATTGATACAATTATATTTATAAAAGAGTATAAGTTTCATATATTTTTATAAATAGACACACACGTTCATTTTTATAAACGAGAATAATTTAAAATTATTTTTATAAATGAGAAATTCAAATTTGATAAATGATTATATATTGTAATTATATTAATATTAACCAACTGAGTACATGAAATAAATTCACGGGTAGAATAAATGTATGTATGACATACCAGATAATTGAAGTTAAAGAATTGAATGTACTGTTTTAAATGACAATTAAGTTATATTTTTAAATACAAATTAGAAAATAAATTCATCTAAAATAAATTTCATTCATTAAATAAATATAGAAAATAGTATACAATAGTTTTATCTATAAATTTTATTTATTTTTTATGTTGTTTTTAAAAATAATTGTAATTTAACGGGAAACTGTTCTACATTATAGGTTGTAAAAAAATATGTAAATATGATATAATATAAAAGTTTTAAAACTGAAATTTGACGGGAGATGTCATACATTTTTAATTTGAAAAAATGGATTAATATATAAAATATGTTTAATAAATTTTTAAAATTAATTCATTTGGATTCAACTGAAGTTCGTTAACTCACGTAGATGTGAGCACATATAATATAAAAGTATAAATTTGACGGGAGTTGTCATATATTTTAGGTTTGGAAAAATGGATTGATATCTAAAATAGATTTAATAAATTTTTAGAACTAATTCATTTGGATTCAACTGGGTTTGTTAAATCATCTTAATTCACGGGTAGATGATAACGCATCTATGAGATACTGGCTATAGATTGTTAATTTTAATATTCATCTTTTAAATCTTATACTTTACGATTCAAATTAAAAATCTATTTTGAATTAAAATATATAGTATATACATTTTCCATGTATTTCAAGAAGTATATAATTTTTCTTATTTGTTCATGCAGACGTGATTTGTTGATAGGACCGACGCTTGCTACAAATATGGAGTTAAATGCCAACATGGTTTACATGAGACATATACTCAACTGAAAACATGATAACATACTTAATAATTTAATAATCTATAAATGTAATGTGAATCCAGACGAGACCCGTGCGATAGCACGGATTTGTTGCTAGTTTCTATTGAAACAAAAAGAATTGTTCAATTCTCAAATTGGTTATCTCAACAAAACTATTACTAAACAAAACATAAATGATAGAAAAATAGAAAGACATTATTTACATAAATGAATGTGTATCTTTATACAAATGTACAAATGTGAAAAGTTCAAGAATGAAACTGTAACAAATCTAAGCCTAATACTTTACAACAGATGAAGCCATAACTAAGTTTTTAATGTGAAATTATATGAAAGTTGTTAAGTAGGAGCAATGGTTAAAAATGTGATAGTATAAACACTACTAACTTCTCTAAGTTTTCTAATGATTTTTTTTTAATATTCTTAGAAGATTCTCTTAATCTTCAAGCTTCTCAGAATTGCTAACATTTTTTAGATCCTTAAGTAATTGTAATCGCTCGATTTCTTCATCTTTTGTCGAAATCGTGTCTTTGAGAGAAGCCACCTGTAATGCAAAATAAAAGTATTTCACAAATTAATAAATACGAATATCTTTCGAACGAAATTTGAACATCGATATATCAAGCTAATTTCATGGATGACCATTCAATATGCAAGTCATCATGAAAGTAATTCCAAAAGTAAAACATGATCTAAAACCAAAGATGTTATGAGCAATCCATAATGTGATGAATATTATATAAGATTTTAAAACATATATGATGGAATATATATAACATTATTAACTTAACAAATTTAATCACCTGTTCCATTAATTCTCTAACATCTCTTCCATCTTTGGTACTTTTTGCAACTCCTAACTCAACTCCAGAAACTCTCTCAGCAAACTTCAAAGTACTCAAAGATTCAGAATAAGACTTTACATCTGAATTGATTTGAACTAGCATGAGTGTCTTTGCATGACCACCTGTGTAGTAAAATCATATTAAAATATTTTTCTCGTATCGATGTGCTCTGACTGCGTGAATGCATAATATTTTTAACAACGGAAAATCCAACATTCACACGATCAATATATTAGAAGTTGTTGGATTGAGATTAGACGATTCATATTTCAAAATATATGTCAAAATATGTACTGTCTGATCTCGATCCAACGACCATTGTGTTGACCGTGTGGTTTTTTTATGACATGCAATTAGAACTTACAAGTGAAGAAATAAATTATGATATTAAGAAATCACAAACAATGATTTTACCTAGTGAGGATTGCAAAATTTGTGTGAGTTTGCTGTTTCTATATGGTATATGAGAACTCTTTTGAGAAAGTGAAAAAATGACATCTCCAAGAGCAGACAGTGATTTGTTAATATGTTGTGCTTCCTTTAGTCTATCTCCGATTACTTCAGAGCGATCTATCCTTTCACTTCCTGCCAAATCTATCAGATGAAGATTACCTTGGAGAGTCGAACCAGATTTCTTATCCGCCCCACGAACATGAATCGAAACCACACTGCAAAAATATTGATGAACACTATATTATAGACACTTCTGAAAAAATATGTATCTGGTGTCTGACACGTATAATAAATAGTAGAAAACTTGAAGCATGGACTAATGCGAGTTGAATAAAATGAAAAGACGAACCTGTGAGATCGGCTACTTCTTTCATTCATAGCAGTTGAACCCTTTGCTCTATTTTTTAAACCAATGTCCATTAGTTTTATGACATCGGCAGTTGATTTGACAGGGTGCATGCTAGCATCAGGTACTGCTAAACCATTTGGTTGAGAGTGATTCAATATCCCAAGTGTGTGCAAATCAAGGAAATCAATTCAAACATCATAAACATTGACACATTTCATGTGAAAATTTTAACAAAAAAGAAACATATTAGTTTATAAACTAAAACAAAGAATCCGGATCATCTGTAATCAATGACTGCGCGCGATAAAAGAATATGTGACTATGTGTAGTCAGTGACGGTAGAGAATCCGGATTCTTAAAAGAAAGTTCATGCGCATAATAAATTGTCTGTAACTATTGAAAAAAGGATATTTTTTGACAGATATATCGGTTGTTAGCAAATCGCGAACTTGTTCATTATAGATCTCAATTATTTGAACTCCAATGTCATAAACTATGGAACTTTGTCTACTTGAGGATATGTTGAAGAGGTCATTTAGAGCTCGATAGTTAACACCAAGACTCTCATTAGTTGCACCATTTGGGCCACTCTGGAGAAAAGTAAAACAAAATTTTATAGAATAAGAATCTTTTCAAACTTGCATGAATGATGAGATAGGAAAATCAATATGCACATAAAGTTTGTTACATACCATTGTATAAGTTTTTCCTGAACCTGTCTGTCCATAAGCAAATATGCACACATTAAAACCATCAAGTACCGATCTTATAAAGTCTTGTATATCATCGTACACCTCAGCTGTATAATTTAAAGAAGAAAGAATCAATATTAAAATTGAATATAATCACATGTGTCAGTATCGTGTTGGACTCTGGATAGTTTTTGTTCAGAAGTGTCAGTGCTAAGAGATAATGTATAAAGAAACCTTGAGTTGAGGTAGGACCAAAGATCTTATTAAACTTAAATGTTTTAAGTGCTTCTTTCCCTTGTTTGGATGGATTTGCTACAACCAAATCTGATTCGCCAATGCGCTCAACAATAGATTGTTTTTCTTTTTGTCCAGGAATAAAGGGTCTAATTCTACAATATACTCTAATATTTCCTGCATCATAGAAAATATTAATGAGAAATTTCAACAAATCCACCAACATTAATCACCTATTACACATGCACAAGTAATGTTACCTTTTAATTCTTGAAGTTCATTGAATAATTTTCTATTTTCAGCAAGAACTGTTTGATAATTCTCAGCTGCATGCACTAGTGGTTTAAGATTCACACCTGAACAAGTTTAACCACATTGATTAGAGATTATCTTAACCAAAATTCAATATATTCACATACTCACATATTCACACAATCAGCGCGTCAATGACTACTGATATGTAGATTGTGTGAATGCGTGAGTTTTATTAAAGTCCAAATACAAATCGAACATAACAAGACAGACCTAGTCGATTGCATTCCTCTTTGTAAATCATTCTCTCTTTCACAACATCTTGCTTAATAGATTCCCAAGACAATTTCAATTTCTATATGCAAAATCAATAGAACAATTTAATATTTTACCATTCATAACAATATAACAAACATCATAATATATAAGTTTACCTGTATGGAACTGAATTGAAAACTGACAGCTTTCTGTATTATGTTTTGTTTCATGTTCCACTTCTGATATTTTGACTCCATAATAGCTTCACTCTCTCTAACCTTATTTCTTAACTTTTCCATTATAGCCTCATGTTCTCGCGATTTCTGTTTCAATTCTAATTCAACATCCTCGGCTTCCGATTTCAACTTTGAACATTGTTCTTCATATCTATTTTTCATTGTTTCAAGTTCTTGCTTCATCGTCGAAATTTCCACATTTTTTTCTTCCACCTCTTTGATCAATGTCATAACTTCTTTAGCAATTTCCTTCTTTTCCATACTTTTTTCTTCGACCTCTTTCTTCAATCTCATAATTTCTTCATCAACTTCCCTCTTTTCCATACTTTTTTCTTCGACCTCTTTCTTCAATCTCATAACTTCTTTATCAATTTCCTTCTTTTCCATACTTTTTTCTTCGACCTCTTTCTTCAATCTCATAATTTCTTCATCAACTTCCCTCTTTTCCATATTTTTTCCTTCCACTTCTTTATCAATATCCTTCCTTTCTATATTTTCGATCTTTGTACATTGTACTTCGTATCTTTTTTTCATTTTTTCTAGTTCTTGCTTGAATGTTGAAATTTCCATATTTTTTTCTTCAACCTCTTTGATCAATCTCTTAACTTCTTTATCAATCTCCTTCTTTTCCATATTTTTTTCTTCAACATCTTTGATCAATCTCTTAACTTCTTTATCAATCTCCTTCTTTTCCATATTTTTGTCTTCCACTTCTTTCATTAATCTAATAACTTCCCTATCAATTTCTTTCTTTTTTTCATCCTCTTTAGTCTTTTCAACATGATTTATATCTTTTGTCTTCTTTTCTTCTATTACAATCTTCTCAATTGGCTTTGAGTCATGTGCACTTTTTTCTTCCTTTATGATATTCTCCTCATTGGTTCCTGATGCTAGAGCTTCAAGTACTCTTATTCTTGATTGATATTTTTCTTCGCGAGTTTTAAAAAGATTGTTTTGCTGATGACAAAGCGTAAGACAATAATGTAAAAAAGAATCAATTGAGATAAACTCTGTAGAACTAACGTGTCTGGTGTCTGACACAAACACGACACTAATATACATGATTACATTAGATTAATTCATTTCTTTACATTTTTATCAGTATAGGCATGTCTGTGTCACTGTCATGTCTGGTATCTGTGCCTGTACTTTATAGATAAACCAACATAACTAGATTTTGAAAAATAATTTAATCTACTTACAGTTCTTAAATGTCCTTGTTGTGTCGATATTCTCCGCTCGATCTCTTGAACAACTTTTCTTAACAAGCAAGCCACACGCTATGATGAATTTTTTCGTTTGTTAGATAGTACAATTGTAAACTTTATAAGCAAACTATGTAATGTACAACACGAAATTCAAGATTATTTATCATACAGGTGGTATTTCTCCGTTTCTTCTTTCGACACTTTCTTCTAGGATACCATTCACAACACTCAAAAGTGATTGAGTAGGAGCATTCTGCATAAGTAAATGCTGAAACAAATCAGTGATGCATAGAACTAAAAAAGATAATCATAATTTAAATGAACCTTAAAATTAAGAAAAGACTAAGAGAATTTACATCCAAACTTGATGATTTCATTAGCTCGGAAATTTTAGCAGCAGGAAGATCTGCATAGCTTCCACCTTTTTGTTGAAATACATCTGGAAACCTATGTCTGACTTGGTTTAAGGCACCCGATGGCTCTGCTGACTCATCATAATCGTCAGATCATAAAATAAATAAATAATGTTCGAACTTAATTATAATTATTTCTAAAGTTATACTACCTGTCGAATGTTGAAACTTCGAGTCAGACAAAATCTTTTTCTGAGGTAAGTTATTATTTCCGCTCGAATTAGAACTCGAACTACCAACATCCTTAGATTCTGTAGTATGGTTGTTAGGTTGTGAATTCATAACTAGAAATTTTTTTCATGAAGAAAAAACACTTCAAAAATGGAGATTTTGTTTCATGCAAATTTATATTGCATTATTTCACCTCAAGAAATTCTTGAAAAGCTGAAATAAATAAGAGAGAAAGATGCATTATTTACTTGGAGAATGGAGAATATGAAAATTACAAATGAGAGAAACATGCATGCATGGAAAATAAAAATGTGAAAAGAAGAATCCAACCTTGAGGATGTCAACATTGATTCTAATGTTGCTATTGTTGTGGAAAGGTTTGAGAAAATTCAGGTAAAACATCAAATGGATAATGTTGGATTTTTACAAAAAAGAATATAATAATTATGTTGGAATTTTTTTGTTGGGATTTGTGAGAGAGGGTTGGGAGAAGATATAGGAGAACAACACTCTGAACTTCACAATCATTTTAATGGAAGAAATAACACAAGGAATGAATTGTCCCAACACTATTTTCTTTTTAGTACATATTAATTTTAATTCACATAAGTTTATTGTAAATATTATGTTTCATTTTTATTTATTGTAAGATGTGATGTGCGATCATGGGCACTAGTGATTGGTTGACTTCGCAAGATGAAATGAAATAGTTTGAGAGCAAATTAGGGGTTGGTAATTGAATTCATTAAAACAAAATTTATCTAATCTATATACTAAAAAATTCATCTAATTTATCTATCAAATAAAAATTAAGTTAATGAATTAGATTAAATTTATCCATTTATATACATGGATGAATCCAATCTATCTAACACATTTTGATGATCTAATAAATTATTTTTATATTATTCTTTAAATTTAATAAATCTATTTTTCTTAAATTAAAATAATTTTTTTTTCAAAAATAAAGAAAACGATGTTACTCAGAATTTTGAAAAATCGAGTTTTTTTAGAAAATCGAAAAATCGAATTTTTTTTTCTAAAAGTCAAGTTTTTCGGAAAATAGAAATCGAGTTTTCTTGGAAAATCAATTTTCTTTTAAAATCGATTTTTTTTCCAAAAGTCCGATTTTTTTTCCAGAAAATTGAGTTTTTCTAAAAAATCGAAAAAACGAGTTTTTAGGAAAATCGAAAAATCGAGTTTTTTTAGGAAAATCAAAAAATCGAGTTTTTTTTTGGAAAATCGAAAAAATTGAGTTTTTTTCCCGGAAAATCGAGTTTTTTTGGAAAATCGAAAAAACTGAGTTTTTTTGGAAAAACGATTTTTTCGAATAATGAAAAATCAAAAAATCGTGTTTTTTGGAAATCTAAAAATTCGAAAATACGTAAAAATCGAGTTTTTTGAAAAATCAAAGTCTTTTGAAAAATTGAAAATTTGAGTTTTTTCGAAAATTTAAAAGATTGAGTTTTTTCGAAAACACACAAAAAACGAATTTATTAGAAAATACAAAATATATATATTTTTTAAAAAAATAGATATATTTAAATTATTTTTTTTGGATGAATGAATATCCATTCATTAAAATGTTGTTAATAGATGGATTAGATAGATTTTATTTTTAATGGATAGATTGGATTGAATATTTTAAAGAAAATTTTAGTGAATTGTTAATGAATTGTTTTAATCTATCCATTAACAATCAATTCATATTCATCCAATTTATCCGTTTTGCCAACCCTAAAGTAAACAAATTGAAGAACTTGGAAAAGTGGACAATAAGGTGTCTAATTATAAAGCTATGGTCAGAAAAAAAATAGGATAGTTAATAATTTTACTTTTGGTTGGTAAATACTTTTAAGTTATTTCACTTGATAACAAATTTATTTCATGCTTGATAGTAACAAATAAGTTAGCGTATAGCAAAGTTAATGACTGAACTAATTTGAAAATTCTATTATATGTTTGATTCAATAGCCATATGAGAATTATGTATTTATGTTGATGATAATTCTTGATGTTGAAATCTAACATGTTCTCCTATAGTGGTTGATTGATTGTCATACCATGTCAATTTTTATGTATCATTCCATTTAATCCACTGCTTTTTAAAAATTCAAAAGAAAGTCAAAGGTCAAAGTTTGGAATTTTGATGAACCTTATTTGGAATGCATTGTTCAATTTGGTTTTGATTCAAATTATTTAAGTTACGTAGCCATATTGATTTTAATTGAAATTCAATGTTCAATTGAAAATAAAATTGATATGTCATTATTTTAAACCATTTTGAGCCAACTTCAAGCAAGTCACATTCGATTCATTTGAGATTTTCAAGCCATATTTTAAAAATCACTTTTTAAGTCAATTTTGTCAAACCAATTTCTAAGTTATTTCAATTCTGCATCCTAATCCTCTTCAATTTTACACTCTAATTTTCATCAACTTAGCCTATAAAATACAGTCCCTAACACAATGCAAGATGAGGAAGAAAAAGATAGTGTAACTCTGCTAAAATCCAGTCATCTTCCTCCACTAAACCTCCAGTTTAAAGCTCCATCCACATAACCTGCAAGTGAATAAAACCATAAAACAACAAGTCGACACTCACTCAGAGCAACAACAAACGCTCACACAAGCAAAGAATAAGGAAGTAGAAGTGGAGTAAAAGCACAAATAAAAGGATTTATGTACTTGAACAAGCTTCATATCGGAGTCGTTACTGGAGAAATTCCCCTCTCTTTAGGTAAACCCTTATTGTTTTGATGTGGATAGTGTAAAACCATCTTTCCCGCTCAATTGTTGTTTTAGATGATTGTTCTGGCCACTTGAGGTTTTAGGTTATTTCAATTCTCATTTCTGTTTTTCTACTTTATGCGGTATTGGTTTTAGGATTGTGTTGCGTTTTCAATTTTGGCAAGGTTTGTCTTGTTTTGTTGGATGTTAATAGAGCCTCCTTGGATACCTCAACCTACTCGGTTACCTCTTCCCGACGAGGTACCTCCTCCTCATCGGGTATCTGTTCATGTGCATGAGAGGATTACGTCTGAGACAGGTGACTCTTTGGTGCAGAAGTGGATCCTCCAACAACATCCTCCCGCAGAACCCGACCCCGTCTTCAGGTCCTGGTTAGCTGCCCAACTCTCTCATGCCAAGCAGAGACAGTCGGACTTGGCCTACCTTGTCTCAATCTGTTATTCAAGTTTGGGTTGTCAACCATTTTTCTGCAAAATAATAATCCTTAATTAGAGGGAAGGGAAGGAAACAAGTTCGAAAAAAGGGGGAAAATCAACTCATGCAACATTTTGGAAGTGCATATCCGAAACTGGGGATTTCAGATATGCACATCTGAAACTACCTGCGAACAACCATTTTCGAACAACTTCATCTTCTTGCCCTAAATCATCCAAAAACCTTATTTTATCACCCAAACACCCACATTAAACTACTATAGTATTGCAAAGTGAGTCAAATAGAAATGGAGAAAACTTACACAAATTTGGAGTTTTGGAGATGAGTAGAAAAGACTTCAATGGAGTTTTTGCTTCTTCAAACTTAGTTGCAATGAGTTGAAATGAGTGGGAATTTAAAGATTGGAGAAAAATGGTTTTTGGGAGTTGTCTGCTCGTACTGGTGTATATATTAAAATGACTTAGAATATGCATATCTGAAGTCTCCAAATTATGAGGTTGATTCAAATATGCACATGTGAAGTCACTTTTTCTTGACAAAACAATGACTTCAAATATGCACATGTGAAACCACCTTTTATTTACAAATAAGGTGAGTTCGGATATGCACATCCAAAGTCTGGGGGTATTTTAGGTTTTTCGACAAAGGCCTCTTAGAAAACATATGGGTGGAAAAAGAAATGCCCTTTTTAGTTTGTCAAGGGTTTGGACCTTTAGGTCCCAACCTGGTTTTCAGACCAACAAATGCCCATTTTTCCATACGTACCTCCCTTAGTTTCTATTATTGAAATTCTGGCTGCAGATACTCAATGTCACGTTCAATGTTATGACACCGTATCTGAATTTCTATAAGACAGTAAATACAAAAACAGTAAAGAACACAGTCAATTGTTTACCCAGTTCAGTGTGCAACAACACCTACTCTGGGGGCTACCAAGCCAGGGAGGAAATCCACTATAAGAGATATTAATTCAGGAATAAACCAACCAGTTTATCTCCTTCACTTAAGACCTACCCAATGCAACTTCAATCTAAGTACAACTTAAACCTGAGTTCCTACTCACTCCCCCTCAATCACAGCAGTGATACTTAAAACAATTGACTAATGAATTAATGAAGACACTCTTCAAAACATACACTTGATTATACTTCACAGCTTTTTAATCAAGCAACACAAACACTCTTGCTTCACAGCTTTGAGTGATACATAAACCTAACTTGACTTTGCTTCAAAGCTTTAGTCAAGAGACACAAAACACTCTTGCTTCAAAGCTTTGAGTGGTATAAAAACCCTTACAAACAAAACCTATTCCAAGTCACTTATCACAATGATAATTGCTTGGATTACAGCAGTTAAAACTATACAGCTCCTAAATGATCTTCTATCAAAAAGGATAAATTCCAAACAGCAGCCCTGTTGAATATATAGCAGCTGCTTCTTCAGTTAGGGTTTCCACAAAAAGCTAGGGTTAATTCCGTTTGACCTTAAGACTTGGTCACAAGACTTTGTCAACCAGGTTAGGGTTGAGCTAGGTTAACCCAAAGTCCACGAGAGATTCTGTTCTGGAAAGACTGAGTCATTTTCCTGAAAAATCTCAGAATTAACTAAACTGCATAACTGTTAGATCAGAACAGGATGTCTTAACATTTGTTATGACATCTGAATTCCTGTTTACTGATTTTGGTAAATGTGATCATTTTGCAAAATGCTCAGATACACACTCATAAACATCAGTACCTGTATGCCACTATTTTTCTGCAAAAGGTACCTAATAAACCAGTACCTAATAAATAAGAATGTTATGACATTAGTCATGACATTCACACACCTAGTTTTACCAAAAATGCATGCCAATAACTAAACAACTACAAACTCCCCCTTTGGCAGATTTTTGGCTAAAGTCCCTAAGCAATCAGAGAATAGAT